TAAATCCTAAACCCTAAACCCTAAACCCTAAACCCTAAACCCTAAACCCTAAACCCTAAACCCTAAACCCTAAACCCTAAACTTAGGTCTTCGAGTGCAGGGCCTCGGAGATCCTGGATCCTGGATCCTGGTTTAGGCCTTTAGGGTTTAGGGTTTAGGGTTCAGGGTTTAGGCCTTAGGGTTTAGGGTTTAGGGTTTAGGGTTTTCGGTTTTAGGGTTAGGGTTCAGGGTTTAGGGTTTGGTGATAAGTAGTGCGAAGCACGGTGGATGTAGTTAAGGGCTCGTTAGGGTCTTCTTTCGCTGTTCTTGTGGCCCTTAACTTATGTGTAGCCTTCGTCGACACTTAGCGGGTTGTAGGGTTGCAGAGAGTGCAGGGATGTATGTCTTAGGGTCGCAGAGTTTAGCTAGCCCCATTTCAGGCGCCTGTTTTCCCCAACGTACCTCTGACACAGCCTTGATGAAGCCCTTAACCCCAAGCCCTAAACCCGAAACCGTTAGTGCCCTTGTATGCCCCTCCATAAGGTACCCCCAACCCCAGGAACTCCCTCTCCCGAAGTCGTCCTTAAGTTTCGGGCTTAGGGTTTCGGGCTTTGGGCGCTCAGTGCCGCCTCTTCCTCAGAGTGGGCCTTTATTCCCCTTTGTTTTGGTAGGGTTTAGGTTTAGGGTTAGGGGTTTAGGGTTTAGGGTTCAGGGTCTAGGGTCTAGAGTCTAGGGTCTAGGATTTAGGGGTTCCCTTCTCAGTCCCTTTTAGACGGGAAGAGCAAGCTGCAAAACCTGAAGGGCCACCAAGCCCCCCTAAGCCCTAAACTTAAAACCTTAGACCCTGAACCCTAAACCCCAAATCCATCCCCTTTCAACACATCCTTGTTTGGGTGGGGGGGGGGAGTGCCAGACTAAGGCGCTGTCCCTGCAACACCCACGAAGGTGCAGGTGCAACGGCCACGTCGAGATGATGCTCTTCGTCTTGGAGGCTCCGCCCTCTTTCTCCCTGCAGGGAGTCCTGCTTTACTGTTTTGTTTTTTTTTGGGGGGGGTTCAGGGTCCTAGAGGTAAGCTTTGAAATCCGGGGGGGGGGGGGGGGGGGGGGGGGGGGGGTGGGGGTTTCAGGGCTACCCCTAAAGCCCCCAAACCCTAAACCCTAAACCCTAAACCCAAACCCCAAACTCAAACCCTAAACCCCAAACCTCAAACCCTAAACCCTAAACCCTAAACCCTAAACCCTAAACCCTAAACCCTAAACCCTAAACCCTAAACCCTAAACCCTAAACCCTAAACCCTAAACCCTAAACCCTAAACCCTAAACCCTAACCCTAAACCCTAAACCCTAAACCCTAAACCTAAACCCTAAATTCCAATCCAGGCCTGCTTAGGCCGTACCCATCCTTTTTTAGGGTGCCTGGGCCCAGAACTACACCCGACAGCGACTAACACCATCGCTTGGGCTCATTCTGCAAGCCTAAAGAGTTGTTTTGAGCGTGAGCTGCACCCGCTGTGCAATTCCAAAAGTGACTTCTGTGCGTCGCCCCTGGGCCCCCTCCAGAGCCCCCTGGAACCTGCCCCTTGACGGAGCGTGTTCAGGGACCAGAGGGGGCTGCTTCAGCTTGAACAAAAAGCACCATTGCCCCACCCCTCTGGCCCCCCCCTCCGCCCTCCCCCCTCCCCCCCCAGAACAGGCAACGCTTGCTCCCTTCCTCCCCTTTTTCGAACCGCTCAAAAAAGATGGGGTGGGAAGTGGGAATTTAGGGCGTCAGCCGGGTGGATGCCTGCGGAAGCAGGGGGTGGAAAAATAGAACAACCCAACCTTTGTGGTTGTGATTGCTCCAACTTCAAAAACGCCGCCGCGACATATGCCGCCCCCTCACACCCCCTGGGTGTGTTGACACCCCCTGGGTGTGTTGGGGCGCCATCCCCGCATGAAATTCATTGCCGCGGCGCGGCGAGAAGCCCTAAACCCTAAACCCTGAACCCTAAACCCTAAACTCGAAACCTTAAACCCTACACCCTAAACCCTAAACCCCCAACACCCCTCCGCAGGCCGGCAAGGACAAGGACTTGCTGAGCTACTTACTGGTGCATAATAGTCCTAAACCCTAAACCCTAAACCCTAAACCCTAAACCCTTAACCCTTAACCCTTAACCCTAAACCCTAAACCCTAAACCCTAAACCCTAAACCCTAAACCCCCAGTAAGGCTACGGGGGCACGGCGCTGATGCGCGCGGCGGGCAACGACCACCTTGAGGTGGTCCGCTTGCTGGTGGAAGCTGGCGTCGAGCCAGGGCTGCCAGGAATTCAGACGGTTTAGGGTTTAGGGTTTAGGGTTTAGGGTTAAGGGTTAAGGGTTTAGGATTTCAGAGGTTTCCCTAAGGGGTGTTTGGAGTCTGGAGGTTTTTTTTTAAGGGGCTTTGCAGAGTGTGTTAAGGGGTTGTAGAGGTTCGGGGGTAAGGGTTTCAGAGGGTTTAGGGTTGAGGGTTGAGGGTTTAGGGTTTAGGGTTTAGGGTTTGAGAGTAGGGGGTTTCAGGGTATTGTTAAGGGTCAGGTTTTAGGGGGTTTAGAGGCTTTCAGAAGGTTTCTGTTTTTAAAAGGGGCTTCATGGGGTTTGTTAGAAGGTTTTGGAGGGTTTTCGTGAAGGTAGAGGCGTTTTAAGAGTTTTATGGGGATGTGTGGTGTTTTTTAGGTGTTAGGGTTTTGGATGGCTTCAGAGGGTTCAGGGTTTTCGCGTATTTTATCGGGTTTTAGGGTTTAGGGCATAGGGCTTCTACAAAGGGGTTCCTAGAATCAGGTGCATAGTAAGTTGTCCATGTTACGTGGTACCGCCCTATAGGCTGGAACTTCAGGACGGTCCCCTGAGTACGAAAATCCTTTTGCAAGTGTATCCCCATGGATGCTGTGAATGGACCAAGTCCAGTGTTGAGGGTTTAGGGGTCGAGGGGCTTAGAGGCGTAGGGTCCAGGCAGCAAAGTTTCATCAAAGTGTCTGTAACAAGGAAACCACACCATCTTCCGCATCACCCTGTTAATGGTAAGGCGCTTGGACGGTCCTAAGCCCGGAATTCTTCATGGGGCTCTGGGTTTAGTCAGGAAACCCTGTACACGACAACCGTGCCAGTGGTACCATAAACCTTTAATTCGAGGTACATGGTACTTAGCAAACCAATAATAGCTGTACTTATCACCCACTTCTAAACCCTACTAAGGTACTTAAGGGGTTTACGCGGGGGTTATAACTACACTTAGAACTGGGTTATCAAGTACCCTGAACCTCCAAGTAAGCCCTAAAACACCCTACGCCCACGGAAGCCAGCCGAGGACCGAAACTTGAGAGATCGCGCCGGTCGAACTGCCTTGGTCTACGCGTGTCTCCGCGGCCACACTGCGATTGTCCGCTTTCTGCTGGAAGCGGGCCCGTTGGTTCGGGAGGCGGCTCTGACTTCCGCAGCTGAGGGGGGCCACATTGAGGTGGTGAGGTTGCTGCTGGAGTCGGACGTTGACGCAAATGATAGCACCAGGTTCAGGGGCACAGCTCTCATCTGTGCATCGGACAGAGGATATGTCGAGGTGCTGCGCCTTCTTCTGGAGTTTCGCGCGGACGTGAACCAGGGAAGCCACCTCGAGAACCGCTACGCACTGCTTCGCGCCTGTGTCGCAGGTCATGTTCAGGTTGTACGCCTGCTGCTGAAAGCCGGTGCTGACAGGGACTTGAGAAATGGAGACGGCCAGACGGCTCTCATCTGCATCTCCGGCAGAAGCGATTGGCGCCGAAAGCAGGAGATGGTGCAGTTGCTGTTGGAGGCCCGAGCCGACACGGACTTGCAGGACTTTGCGGGCAACACGGCGTTGAGTGCGGCGGCTGACAAGAAGAGCTTCTCTTCGGTTCTGCGGTTGTTGCTGGAAGCGGGTGCCAACACGGACTTGAGGAACCACGAGGGCCAGACCGCGCTTCTTCGTGCTTCTTGCAAGGGCCTGGATGCGAATGTAAGCTTACTCTTGGAAGCAAGGGCGGACATGGATCTGAAGAATCATCGCGGCAAAACCGCTCTCATCAGCGCCTCTGAGATGGGCTACGTCGAAGTCACGCGCAAGTTGCTGGCAGCTGGCGCTCACAAGGACTTGTTGCACTCCGGTGGTACAGCTCTCATCCGCGCATGCGCTCGAGGCCACGTCGAGATCGCGCGCTTGCTGGTGGAGGCTGGTAGCGCCGTAGACTTGCAGAACAGCTTGGGTCAAACAGCTCTGATCTGCGCGGCGCGCCGCGGCCACACGCAGATTGTGCGCCTGCTGCTTGAAGTTGGGGCCGACACCGACATAAGATGCGGCCGCGGCCTCACGGCCCTCATCTGCGCCTCTCACTTTCATGTTGCCGTGGTGCGGTTGCTGCTGGAAGCTGCTGCCGACCCTGACCTGAAGAACAGCCATGGCCAGACGGCCCTCACGTGTGCAACCCGGCGGGAGTGCACCGCCATTGTGAGCTTGCTGTTGGAAGCCAGCGCTCCCGAAGAAGAAAGCGCAGATACCTTGAAATCCCAAGCCCCCCAAACCCCACACCCCCAAACCGAAAAGCCCTTAGCCCTAAGCCCTAAGCCCTAAGCCCTAAACCCTAAACCCTAAACCCTAAACCCTAAACCCTAAACCCTAAGCCCTAAACCCTACACCCTACACCCTAAACCTTTTGAAACCACACCAACCCCAAGCCCTAAGGTCGGAGCCACGGGCACTTCGTGTGATCCCCTACCCTTGTGGGTTTAGGGTTTAGGGTTTAGGGTTTAGGGTTTAGGGTTTAGGGTTTAGGGTTTAGGGTTTAGGGATAGGGATCCGAAGGTAGGGGGCCCTCACAACGCATAGTGCATATAAGGGCTATATGCCAAGAAGCCCACCCACATTAAGGGCCCAGACTTGGGACCCAAAACCCTAAACCCTAAACCCTAAACCCTAAACCCTAAACCCTAAACCCTAAACCCTAAACCCTAAACCCTGAACCCTGAACCCTGAACCCTGAACCCTAAACCCTGAACCCTAAACCCTGAACCCTCAACCCTACAACTAAGGATCCCCCTAAAAGCTTGTCAGCCCCAAAACCCTACTTGCCGCCCAGGCATGCCTTGCCCGCAGGGATACTGGACGACTACTGAGGCGCGACGGAGGGAGTTTAGGTTTTAGGGTTTTGGAGCTTCGGTTGAGGAACCCCAAACCCTAAACCCTAAACCCTAAACCCTAAACCCTAAACCCTAAACCCTAAACCCTAAACCCTAAACCCTAAACCCTAAACCCTAAACCCTAAACCCTAAACCCACCAAAGGGGGCTTCCAGCTGCAGCGGCTGCGCCGCGGGCCGGGTCAACTCGCATCCAGAGCACCGGCCATCCGAGGCCTTCGCTGTACTTGGTTTAGGGTTTAGGGTTTAGGGTTTAGGGTTTAGGGTTTAGGGTTTAGGGTTTAGGGTTTAGGGTTGAGGGTTTAGGGTTGAGGGTTTAGGGTTGAGGGTTGAGGGTTGAGGGTTGAGGGTTGAGGGTTGAGGGTTGAGGGTTGAGGGTTGAGGGTTGAGGGTTGAGGGTTGAGGGTTTAGTTAGGGTTTAGGGTTTCGGGTTTAGGGTTTAGGGTTTAGGAGTTTCGGGTTTTGGTGGGTTGAGGGCTTAGGGTTGTTGAGGCTTTCAAGGGTTGTTTGGGAGGTTTTGAGGCTTTCATAGCTGTTTTTTTCCTCTCATGTCTTCTGTATGCTTCCAGGCGTTCCTTGGGGCTTGCTTGTTGAAGTTTCAGGGTTGCATTCGGAGCTTGTGTCCGGGTGTGGGTTGCGTGAAGGCCGAGAAGTCTTCTAGGGTCGTTTTTAGGGTTTCGGGTTTAGGGTGTTTTTTTTTGAGGATTTCTTTAGTGTTCGCTTTTCGGGCGTTAAACCCTAAACCCTAAACCCTAAACCCTAAACCCTAAACCCTAAACCCTAAACCCTAAACCCTAAACCCTAAACCCTAAACCCTAAACCCTACACCCTACACCCTAAACCCTAAACCCTAAACCCTAAACCCTAAACCCCAAATCTCAACCCCTTCAAGCCCGTACCTACACCCTTAACCCAACAGGTTGTGGGGGGTTGAGGGTTTAGGGTTAAGGGTTTAGGTTTTAGGGTTTAGGGGGGTTTTGCTTTGGCTGTGTTATGAGCAGGTCATCAGGTCATCTACGGTTAAAGCTGCTTTTTGCATTCTTTGGGCCCTTTTGTAGCTTACAAGTACGCAAGCAAACCCCAAGCCCTAAACGAAAAAAGCCCTAAAACCCTAAACCCTAAATCCTCAACCCTAAACCCTAAACCCTCAACCCTGAACCCCCCTTAACCCTAAGCCCTTAACCCTAGAACCTAAACCCTAAACCCTAAACCCTAAATACTAAACCCTAAACCCTAAACCCTAAACCTCAGAGGAAGGCGTTTGCGTGGACGTGGTTTTCAATGCAGCAGAGCTTGCTGCCCACCCGGCCCCCTGGGGTCCGGACCTGAGAGTGTTTCTGGGGTTTCTATGGAGGTTTGGGGCTTTAGGGTTTAGGGTTTAGGGTTTAGGGTCAGGCTCTAAACCCTAGACCCTAAATCCTAAACCGCAAACCCCAAACCCCATTGTAAGGTTTATTGGTTTAGGGTTGGGGGCCGTACGAACGTTAGAGCCCAGGGCCTTTGAATCTGAAACCTGGAGCCCGTCCGTACTTGGGGTTCAGGGTTTAGGCTTTACTACTATTTGCTTAAGAAGGCGCGCAGAAAAATGCAGAAGTATGATGACCCTTATATATTGCCCTTATACGGAAGAGTATTTTCTGTTGGGGGCTTCTTAAGCAAATAGTGGTTTAGGGTTTAAGGTGTTTCTAGCCCAATCAACAACCCTATGTGGGTACAATCGGTACCCTGAACTTGCCACTCCAAAGCCCTACAAGGTGGAAACCCTAAACCCTAAACCCTAAACCCTAAACCCTACACCCTAAACCCTAAACCCTAAACCCTAAATCCTAAACCCTAAACGCCAAACCGTAAACCCTACATCCTAAACCCCTAGACCCTAAAGTCTCAAAGCCGAAGCCCCCATTCCCCGAACCCCTAAATCCCCAAAGCAACCGCAGGGTCTATGAGGCTTAGGGTTTAGCAATTCCGGGTCCCTGAGCCCTAGACACTAAACCCTAATTCACCGAAACCTCGCGACCTGATTCCTCCAAGCTCTTGCACCCTCAGCCCCCCAAACCCTAAACCCTAAACCCTAAACCCTAAACCCTAAACCCTAAACCCTAAACCCTAAACCCTAAACCCTCTCCCCTAAACCCTAAACCCTAAACCCTAAACCCTAAACCCTATACCCTATACCCTAAACCCTAAACCCTAAATCCCCGAACCCCTTAAACCGTAAACCCGAAGCCCTAATTCCCCAACCTCGAAGCTCACCAGGCCCACTTGGAGGCTTTCTTGACTTAGCAAGTCTAGTTAGTATCCCCTAGAAGCCCTATAGTCCCCATAACCCAACTTACTAACCTTATTTACTAAGTCAAAAGAGCCTCCAAGTACCCCTAAACCCTAAACCCTAAACCCTAAACCCTAAACCCTAAACCCTAAACCCTAAACCCTAAACCCTAAACCCTAAACCCTAAACCCTAAACCCATAAACCCTAAACCCTAAACCCTAAACCCTAAACCCTAAACCCTAAACCCTAAAGCCTAAACCCTAAACCCTAAACCCTAAACCCTAAACCCTAAACCCTAAACCCTAAACCCAAACCCCAAACCCAAAACCCCAAACCAAACCCCAAACCCCAAACCCAAACCCTAAACCCTAAACCCTAAACCCTAAACCCCAAACCCCAAACCCCAAACCCTAAACCCTAAACCCTAAACCAGGCCTTCTCTTCCTGGCCCTCCACCGGCTTCTCGGGCGCCTTGCCGAACGGCCAACATCCGCAAGCTCAGGGTTTAGGGTTTAGGGTTTAGGGTTTCGGGTTTGGGGTTTAGGGTTCAGGGTTTAGGGTTTCGGGTTTTAGGGTTTGGGGTTTAGGGTTTTAGTGTTTCGGGTTTGGGGTTTAGGGTTGGGGGTTTTGGGTTTAGGATTTAGGGTTTAGGGTTCAGGCTCAGGGTTTAGGGTTTTAGGGTTGAGTGTTTGCGGTTTAGGGTTTAGGGTTTGGGGTTTAGGGTTTAGGGTTTGGGGTTTGGGGTTTAGGGTTTGGGGTTTAGGGTTTAGGGTTCAGGTTCAGGGCTACCTAAATTCTAAAGCCCTGAACCCCAAACCCTGAACCCTAAGTATCTCAAGCTCTTGAACCTTTCTTACAAGCCGAGTTGTTACGTAAATTCCAAGAAACCTAAAACCCTAAAACCTAAACCCCATGCCCTAAACCCTAAACCTAAACCTTACACCCTTTAAACCCTAAACCCTAAACTCCACTTACTCGTCCAAGGTCCTAAGTCCAAAACGGGAGCCCTCGGTCAAAACGTTTCGGTCCAAACGTTTCGGTTCCAAATTTCGTTGAAAACCCCGTCGTTCAAAACTTTGGTTCAAAACTTATGCTCAAAACGTTTCGTTCAAGACGTTGGTTCGAGACTGTCGTTCTAAACTCTTCGTTCCATGCCTTCGCTCAAGCTTTCGTTCAACGCTTTCGTTGAACAACTTTCGCTCAAAGCTCTGTCGCTCAAAGCTCTTTCGTTCAAAGCTCTTTCGTTCAATGCTTTCGTGCCAACCGTTATTGGGACCCAAAGCTTTCTGCAGGGGCTTCTGGCGGGGGCAATTTTTTGTGACCAGGAGCGCTTCCGAAAAGCTTTCACACGGACGCAGGCTTATGTGCAGAAGTGGGAGGGGGCAGCAGGAGATTGGGCTGTCTGCTTTGGACTTGGGCGGCACTACGGGCGAGGCCCAAACAAGAGGGGGGTAAAAGTGCCCAGATTGCTGAGGCCATGAGGGCCGGGCGTTCTGGTGAGCCCGGGGCAAGGAAACAGCTTGGGGTGCTCCTTTCTAAAAACACGGACCAAAGAGCAGGCCCTGCGCTCTCCAACTTGGATCGCGGATCCGGCGCAGGATGCGGAACTCAGGGATGACCATTTTAGGGTTTAGGGTTTAGGGTTTAGGGTTTAGGGTTTAAGGTGCAAGCCTGCAGGGGTGGTCTCTTACCCCAATGGGACCGTGGTCGAAGCGGGCAAGCTGGTAATTGAGGCCTTCAGGGATGGAGTGGTGCATGATCCTGAGACGAACTTGGTCGTTGGTCAATTAAATGTAAGACTATCCTAGGTTCAGGGCTTAAGGGTTAAGGGTTTAGGGTTTAGGGTTTAGGGTTTAGGGTTGAGGGTTGAGGGTTGAGGGTTTAGGGTTTAGGGTTTAGGGTTTAGGGCAAATACAAGCCATACTAAGAACCAGTAGGTTGGTTGTGAGTGGTAGCTCTAGCTCTGCGTGTTTGTAAGCTTTCTTGGGGTCCATCGAAGCCTACTGATACCACCCACAGCCCTAAACCCAAATCCGAACAACGCCCTCGGTCCCTCCCTAAACCCTCAACAACCCCGAAACCCTGAACCCTAAACCCTAAACCCTAAGCCCTAAACCCTAAACCCTAAACCCTCCACAAGGTGAGACGACCGCCAGATGTTGCAGTCACAAGCGCTGCTCTCTGGTTAGCTGAGGCCCACGCCCTCTAAACCTCGACTTCTAGGATATCAGGGATGCTTGGGTTTAGGGTTTAGGGTTGAGGGTTGAGGGTTTAAGGTTTAGGGTTTAGGGTTTAGGGTTAGGGTTCTAGGGTTCTAGGGTTCTAGGGTCCTAGGGTCCTAGGGTTTAGGGTTTATAGGGCTTTGAAGGTTCGGATGGTGCAGGGGTTGTTTTGGTTTCAGGGTTTTGTTTGGCTTCGAAAGCACTTTGGTTTCTGGTGCCTGGAGGGCTTCGACTTTCTACGACTTAGGGCTTAGAGTTGCTTGGTTCCGAAGCCCTCAACCCCTAAACCCTAAACCCTAAACCCTAAACCCTAATAAGCCCTAAACCCTAAACCCTAGGGTCTCGAAATCCTAAGCTCTGAGCCCCAAGCTCTGTAACTCGAAGCAGGGTTTATATGACTGTTCTTGGTGAGTGTATATAAGGTTCCTTTGTTTTAATGCTGGTGAGTGCAGACCTTGGGTGTCCTTTTGGGGGTATAAGAACTATATACCCTACTTTACAAAATCCTTCGCCGGAACTCCAAGACCCTTCGCTCTAGCCCCAAGCCCTGAACCCTGTGCCCTTAAACCCTGAGCCCTAAACCCCTCAAACCCTCGCCGTAGGTTTTTTTGGCTCGTTAAGTTTTTTTTCAGGCTTTACCCCGAACCCTAAACCCTAAACCCTAACCCTAAACCCTAAACCCTAAACCCTAAACCTTTACCCCGAACCCTAAACCCTAAACCCTAACCCTAAACCCTAAACCCTAAACCCTAAACCCTAAACCCTAAACCCTAAACCCTAAACCCTAAACCCTAAACCCTAAACCCTAAACCCTAAACCCTAAACCCCAAACCCAAGAGACAACAGGGGGGCCTGGGCTCGCGCTGCCATCCCGCGCAGAGGCCGCGGGTGTGGTGCGGGCGCAGTGGCCACTCGGGGGGGCCGGTTACAGACACGGGCCCCTGCGAGCTGTTTCCCTCAACCCTAAGGTTTAGGGTTTAGGGTTTAGGGTTTGGGGCTTGAGGTTTTGGGTTTCGGGTTTAGGGTTTAGGGTTTAGGGTGCCTAAACCCTAGACCCTACATCGGCCAACCCAAGCACAAAGCCCTCAACCCTCAACCCTCAACCCTCAACCCTCAGCCCTCAACCCTAAGCCCTAAGCCCTAAGCCCCAAACCCGAACCTGAAGCAGTTCAAGTTTTCCTGCTCCGTGGAGAAAGAGCCGAGCGATGCCGGTCAGGGGCGACTCAACCCTAAACCCTAAACCCTAAACCCTAAACTCTAAGCCCTAAACCCTTCAACCCCTCTATAGAATCCCAAGAGCCCCAACACCCGTTTAAAAAGACCTAGGCCCCAAAGGCCTGAAAGCCCTAGAGATGCAAAGCTGGCAACATCGACTGAGCCCCACCGCCTTGGATCCCCAAGCCCTGAAACCCTGAGAAACCCTGAAGCCCTGAAGCCCTGAAGCCCTGAAGCCCTAAACCCTAAACCCTAAACCCTAAACCCTAAACCCTAAACCCTAAACCCTAAGTCCAGGGTGCTCAGTGTGGACCTCAAGCCGCTCACTCGGCGATGTGTCTTGAATGAGGGCTTGCCTGTGCCCGCTCCTCGCCGCGCTCTGGCACAGCTACCCCCCTCCCCCATATGTCCCTACTGCATCCCCTGAACCCCTAAACCCTAAACCCTAAACCCTAAACCCTAAACCCTAAACCCTAAACCCGAATCCCTAAGTTCTAAGCAGCAAAACCCCAAACCCCCAACATCCGCAAGCCGAGTTTTATCCGAGTCTCCAGTTTCACAACGGCCTCAAGACAAGGGCCTGTGAGCAGCCAACGCCTAAAACCTCCCCAAGCCCCAAACTGTGACACCAGCCCTAGACCCTGAAACCCTTCCACCCCAAGCCCCTCTGGAACCGAAGCTGCTGCAGAAACCCTACGGAACCCCCCCAGAATCGGCGCCATGGCCCCGTCCCAAGACGGGGCTGCGCCTCTCGAGGCCGAGAAGGAGGCGCTGTCGCGTCTTTTGGGTTTGGGGGCGTGCTTGGAGAAGCTCTTTCGACTTAGTAAGTCTACTTAGTAAGTCTACTTAGTAAGACTTAGTAAGTCTGCTTAGTATCCCTCCGAAACCCGATGAGAATTCCCCATAGGCCCAACTTACGAGCCCTAAACCCTAAACCCTAAACCCTAAACCCTAAACCCTAAACCCTAAACCCTAAACCCTAAACCCTAAACCGTGGTAGGGCTTCCCAGTAGGGTGGAAGCCCGAAGGGTCCAAAACGATGGACCCGGAGTCCTTGTCAGGCAGCTCCCCCAAAATCCTGAAACTCCCTAAAGCCCTAAAGCCCTAAACCCCTAAAGCCCTAAACCCCTAAAGCCCTAAACCCCTAAAGCCCTAAATCCCTAAAGCCCTAAACCCTGAACCCTGAACCCCCCCACGGCCCCTACACCCTTTCGATCCTTCAACTCGGATTCCGCCCCCTTCTGAAAGGTCCGGAATGCTTTCTCTCCAAGGCGTTTACTTGGAGGTTCATGGTATAAGTAACCCAATTCTAACTGTACTTGCAATTCGCTTATAACCCTACTAGGGCACTTAAGGGGCTTAGTTAAGAGTACGCTGAACCTCCAAGTAGGGCTAAAAGAAGCAGGGTTGCGGGGCTATTTTTTGGGGCCGTGGGGAAGTCGAGATAGGGGTTGAGACCGGGTTTAGGGTTTAGGGTGCAGGGTCCAGGGCTTAGGGCTCTCACACCCCGAACCTGAAAGGCCTTTACGGGTTGTGGGATTAGGGCTTAAAGGGACCAGGGTTCTAGACTAGTTCCTAGCAAAAAAGCTCTGGATTTCGTGCCCCCTTAAGTAGCCTTATTAGGGGGGGGGACCCCCATGATACGTGGGCTCAGGTTTTGACGGTTGTGCACCCTAAACTCGAGCCTCGATTCTCTAAGCCCGAAGCCCGAAGCCCTAAACCCTAGACCCTAAACCCTAAACCCTAAACCTTAAACCCTAAACCCTAAACCCTAAACCCTAAACCCTAAACCCTAAACCCTAAACCCTCAACCCTCAACCCTCAACCCTCAACCCTCAACCCCAAGCCTCGTAGCCCACACCCTAAGCCCAAAGGCACCTGAGAAATCGGAGAAGCCGGAGGAGAGCCAAGAGGAGAAGGCCTGAGAGCTGTTTGGGACTGAGGGGCTTCGGGCTCTGGGTTTAGGGTTTAGGGCTTAGGGTTTAGGGTTTAGGGCTCGGGGTTTGGGGTTTAGGGTTCAGGGTTTTGGGGTTTTGGGGTTTGGGGTTTGGGTTTGAGACTTTGTGCTTAGGGTTTGGGCTTTGGGGGGTTTGGAGTTTGGGGTTCAGGCTTCGGGGGTTCAGGGTTCTCGGGTTTTTGGGTTTTAGTCTTTAGGGGGCTCCCACAGGTTCCTGCGCTGAGGGCACTGCTTTGCAAGAAAAAAAACTCAAAAGCCCTGCACCCTAAAGCCTAAACCGTAGGATATAAGTGCGCGGGATTAGGACTTCTGAGTCAGGGTTGAAAGGTTCAGGGCTGAGGGTTTGGGGATGAGGGTTTTAGGGTTAAGGGGCATCAGGAAGTTATTTATTTGGGGCTTCAAGGGTTAAGGCTTTCGAGGACGCGTGCGGTTCCTGGGCTCTTAGGGTTTGGGATGTAGGGATTTAGGGGTTTAGGGATTCAGGGGTTTAGGGGTTTAGGGGTTTAGGGGTTTAGACTTTAGGAGTTTAGGGATGTGGGGGTTTAGGGGGTTGAGGGTTCCAGGGCTCTTGGGGTTTGGGATGGACTGCTGACCTACGCCGAATCCCACCCTGATGCCCAAGGCAGCCCAGAAGCCAAAGGAGGGTGAGGAAGAGAAGGCATGGCGGAAGTGTTTCTTCTTTACATACTGCTTCAATGTTCTATATTTACTACGATTACCATAATTATTGTTATCATGAATGCTGCTTTATGCTTATGATTATCATCACGACTAGCACTGTGATTGTTGTTATTCGTTGTTATTAGTTAGTTGCTGTTTTCTTGTAATTACTATTACCATTGTTGTTATTCCTTTTATTATGATTATGTTTTGTTTTTCGTTTCGTTTTTGTTTTTTGCCCGGGGGTGGGGTCTTAGGGTTGTTAGGGTGACGCTCTTCGTGATCCTGTCTCTGTCGTATAGCACCGTCTTTTAAAGGTCTTGTTTGTGGGTTAGGGCGGTTTGATGCCTTGCAGTTAGGGTTGCATGCGGGCTTCGGGCTTTGGCTTTGGGGTTTCGGGTTTTAGGATTTGGGATTTCGGTATGTGGGATTTGGGATTTAGGGGGTTAGGGTTTAGGGTTTGGGCTTCGGGGCTTTAGGGTTTTGGGGGCTGGGTGAAGGAACGCTGTTGCAGGAAGCTTTGTGCAATAGACTACCCCCTTGCAAGTAATCTGTATATGCAAAAAGTACTCTTTCGTACAGAAGCCTGATCGCTAAACTCTAACCCTAAACCCAAAACTTGGCATGTTCCCCCTAAACCCAAACCTTGGCATGTTCCCCCTTATACTAACAGTCCTTAATAAAAATTCCAATACCCTCGATTGAAATCCCTATTAAGGACTGTTAGCATAAGGGGGATTATCTCAACCCACCCCAAACCCTCACCCCCAACTCCCCAGACCCGAAACCCTGCTGGAGGCCCGTGGCACTTAGTAACCCAATTATAACTGCACTTGTAACCCAATTATAACCCTATTAGGGTACTTAAGGGGCTTATAGTTGGGTTATGACTGCACTCATCATTGGTTACTAAGTACCCTGAACCTGCAAGTATAGAGCGCGAGACCCCCTAAACCCTAAACCCTAAACCCTAAACCCTAAACCCTAAACCCTAAACCCTAAACCCTAAACCCTAAACCCTAAACCCTAAACCCTAAACCCTAAACCCTAAACCCTAAACCCTAAACCCTAAACCCTAAACCCTAAACCC